TAAGAAAATAATTTTTTGTAGTGTATCACTGTATGATCAATATTGAAATGCAGAAAACTAGTTGCAAGCACAACAACACTTGATAGTAGGGCTGCACGATAAATCGCATGCAATATTTATTATCGCCGTTGTTCACTGACAAGCTGCGCAAAAAATTGCGCGATTATGAACGTGGTCTGACAAGATGCGCATTAAATATCGCATGCCATTTATCGTGCAGCCCTACTTGATATAATTAAAATACTTGGTCAGGAACTCCCATTTGAGCTGTAATAAGGTGAGGAAATACAGGTTCTTTATTGGCATTGATGATTCCATGAAGAACCTTTCCATTCCACAAAAGGTTCTTTATAGCGGAAAAAGGTTCGTTAGATTATTAAAATGTTCTGCACACTAAAAAAAAAAAATCACTTATCACTGAAAGGTTCTTTAGGGAACCAAAAACAGTTCTTCTTTGGCATCACTCCAAAAACATTCTTTATTTTTAAGAGTCTACCAACTTTTATCTCTGTTTTTACAGTAAAGGAGGAGATCTGGAGGAAGAACTGAAAAACGTAACCAACAACCTCAAGTCTTTAGAAGCTCAATCAGATAAGGTAAGTCAGTATAATTCCACAGAGCAGAACAGATTTCTGTGTAAATTGTTCATAATGCATTCTGATCTAAGCTGTTGCGTTGAATTGAATGTGGTGATTCATGAGTGATGATTTACAAATGAATAATTTGCACAGAAACTTTCTGCTCCTGTCTCATGAATGAGGCCATTGTATTGAACATGAATGCAGGACATCTGGGAAATTTGATCCATCTTAGCGAATTAGTGCTTTCAGTAGCTTCATTTCAGTGAACTAGCTCAAAAAATGATTCATTTGAGTCACTTCTCAACAGTGAAGCCCCTGCACATCATTTTACATCATCTTCTTTAGTAGCAAAGTAAATGGTTGCGAAATAATCATCCACCTCTGGGTAATATGGCGAATAAAACAATATATTAGTGTTTGTTCAGTGTTAAGCTGGTAAATCACACTGTTTATTTATTTATAAAACTATAACCTTATCTATTCAGTTTTTGTAGTGTTTTTTTATTGTTGGGTCTGTGCATTTCATGAATGATATCAATGCATTTCAATACTTTTAACATTTTAATTTATGTAAGCAATACTGGTAGCATGTTTCCACTTGATGTCCCGTGCAAAATCTGAGACCTGAAGAAAAACCAGCTGAGAACCAGCGGTTTGAATAACCCTTTGCTTGTTATCTGTCTGCAGTATTCAGAGAAAGAGGATAAGTATGAAGAGGAGATCAAAGTTCTCACTGATAGACTGAAAGAGGTGAGCGAGTTTAACCTAAAGCAGCTGCTCATTCTAACAGTTTTGCATGCAAGTCTTTCTTTCGTAGGCCAGATGCATGCCATTCTCTGACCTTTCACGTTTGTGCTCTCTGCATTTTCCCCTGTAGGTTGAGACTCGTGCTGAGTTTGCAGAAAGGACGGTGGCCAAACTGGAAAAGACCATCGACGAGCTCGAGGGTAAGCTGTGATTCAGTCCTGAGGAATTCCAGCTGGTGACGTCACTAAAACCGTCAGCTGAACGAACCTTTGTCTCCTCTGACCGCATGTGGCGCCTTTATTTCTCATTTCATTGTACTGAAAGAACAGAGCTAACGGTGTAAGCCTGTTCAACTCGTCTTCTTAAACAGTGTTCGCAAACACCTGAATTGAACTTGTTTTATAATTGATGAACTTTGAAACATTGACACTGTTATTGAAATTGAAAACAGTGAACTAAATTTAGCTGAATAATGTGCGTGCGTGCGTGCGTGCGTGCGTGTGTGTGTGTGTGTGTGTAAAACATACTATCATACTATATACTACTATCTTCTGTAGAACTACTTTACAGCTGAAATTAATATTTAAAACATTTGAATTAATGGTTTATTTATGTAGAAGATATTTATAAATAATTAAAAAATTAATAAAACATTAACATTGTTATATTTTAAGAACTACTGTTGTCTTCTAGTTCTAGATCTAGATCTTCTGTAGAGTTGCTTTACAGATTAAATTGAATTTTTCACAATTAATTCTTTCATAAATAATATCAAATGCATATTACAATTAATATAAATATTAAATATATAATTGATATAATTTTTAAAAAATGATCCAGACAGCATTTGTTGGCAATACTGTGCTGTGTTTTGTCCACTTGGACCTGTTGAACTTACTGTTTCTTTTCAAATATATAATTGATATAATTTTTTAAAAATGATCCAGACAGCATTTGTTGGCAATACTGTGCTGTGTTTTGTCCACTTGGACCTGTTGAACTTACTGTTTCTTTTCTTTTTTTCTGTCTATCATTTCCTGTTCTCCATCCTTGGCCAAAACACCTGTCCTTTCTGATCTTGACCTTCGACCTCCAAATGAACTCTATGCTCAGAAGCTGAAATATAAGGCCATTAGTGAGGAGCTGGATCATGCAATCAATGATATGACCTCCTTATAGATGCTTTTTATGCGTCAGAAGTGCTTGAGCTGAACATTATGAGCGCTAACTGTGATTGACAGCTCTCTCGTTCAATCAAGCACTGCTGCTCTGCATAAACTATCCTGATTGGCTGTGCCTCTGTCTCTCTTTCTCTGCTCACCCTTTCTTCCTCACTGGTGCCTTATATATTTTGCACTCTCTGAAAGTTTAATTATTCCTCTAAAATTAAATAAGTTTTTTTTCTTCTCTTTAAAAACTCCCTTTTGTTTCATTTTCTTGCTTTTAAAAACATTAAATATTTTTTGCCTCTCTGATCTTGTGTCTAGTCTTAATCGTTCTTGCTCTTTTCATAGAGAAAAAGTAATAAAGAAACACTTATTAACTTGTTTATATTAGACGTGCGATTATTATATTTAAGGTGTTAATATCCTCTTTTGTGTAATGTAATGCTTTCATTTATGCATTTATTTAATGTTTTTTTTTTTTTTTTTATTTTGCTGCAAAATATTTAAATATATGCATATATATATACTGTAAGTAGTTTGAGAGCACAGGGCAACTATTTGTTAAAAAAAATCACTTTGCATTTATGCATTTAATCCAAAGTGACTTACAATAGTATAATAATTATCATCATAATCATAATAATGTAAAAATATTGATTTTACATATTTTTTTAAATTCTAAAAAAAAAAGTTTTACTGCAAAATATTCAAATATATGCATTTTTTGTTGTTGAAATCACACTTACATTTATGCATTTTATCCAAAGCAACTTACAATAGTGGAATAATAATAATTTTAAATAATATTTAAAATGTTAATTTTTAACTTCAACAATTTGTTTAAAAAAAAAGCATATATTAAGACTTAAGAATCTCAGAGCTTATTGTATTTCTGTCTTTAAAAATTTTTCTGCATTATCTGTAAAAATCAGTTTCTCTGTGGAGGCAAAATGCATGGGATTTTACATCCATAACCCAGCTGTGGTTTACTAGTTTAAAGCCTGGAATGGGCAGGCTTGTTATGCAATCAACACTTTAGAGAATCATGTTTAGTAAAGTGTCACAGATGTTTGCAGTCAGCTACTGTGTCTTTTTAAATCATCGTGCTGGTTTCTTTCAGAGGATCTGGCTGAGGCAAAACAGCAGAACCTGGAGATGCATCAAGTCCTGGATCAAACGCTTCAGGAGCTCAATAGCTTGTGAGCAAACAAGAAGAAATCCATGAAGAACATTCCAGAATTTCTCATCCATTCCAGCAGTGTTTTATGTTTAGCTTTTCATGTTTTGTATAAGTTATGTTATTTCCATCCATTATTTTTTATATTTTGCTTTGCAATTTTCTGATTATTTCCTAATGCACCTATTAGTCCATTAAATAATACATAATGTCTTGTTGTTTCCATTTTTCCCATTTAAATACAACTTCCGACACCATATGTGGCATAAAACCAAATGCCTTGCCTTTAATGGTTATGTTTTTGCACTTAAAAATGATGACCCATCACTGCATGTAAGAATGTTTCCCTTTTTCAGGTCTTGGTGCTGTTTTATTTATTTCTTTGGAATGAACATAAGGTGGAAGGTATACTTAAAACAGTAGAAACGCAACAACAAAAGGTCACAAAGCAATTAGTACATCACATTTTCGTTGTGATGTTAGGGATGTTATGCGAATGTATGAAAAACAAAGTTGTAAAGGCGTTATGTATTGGAACACAGATTTCTTGGACTATTTGTGGCATTAAGAAGTCTTTATTAGTTTGTCATTTATGGGACCATTTTTTACCCTTGATGCTGCAAGTGCTATTTTCACTGTGGTCTGATATTTTTTATACCTGTTAAACTAAATAAATGTTTACTTATTTGCACACCACACCAATCTATGAGAATTATTATTATTATTTAAATAAACAAATTAAACTTGTCTGTTTGCAAATATATCACAGGAAAAGTACAGAATGATATCTTATTAAAGATGATGAAGCCTATTTTAGGATCAAAGACCTTTTTTTTTTTTTTTTGTTCCTTATTTCCATGAATATTCCACCTCACATCCTCGTTATTGTATTGCAGAAAAAAAATATATAATTATTATATGTATATATAATATATGAGTAAATACAAATGTTTACATTTAAATATTTATGAATATAAAAATTGTTTTACAGTAATATCCGGAAAATAATCCACTGGCCTGAAGCCAAGACTTATAATGGAATTTGACCGGCCACACACACTAATTTGTAATGACCTTGAGGCACAGACTGTGAAGGTATGAGGTCTTGTATTAGTTCAGGAAGCACAGTTTACGAATCCCACTACGACGAAGACTTTGCTTATGAATATTAATCATGTACGCTGACGTGCGACGTGGCCGCTACAACAGCTGGCGATTGAACGAATCCTACTATGACGAAGGATTGTCTTACCTCATTAATATTAATTTACGCAGCCTTCGCCAAAGTATGATTGGTCAGTTCCTCGCTGCTTTGCGGATTCTGCGCTGTCTGCTTAAGTACCGGGCGGGATTTCCGCAATACATTAAGTATGGCGAAGACCTACGATTATTTGTTTAAACTGCTGTTAATCGGGGATTCCGGCGTCGGGAAGACCTGTGTGCTGTTCAGATTCTCGGAGGATGCCTTTAACTCGACGTTTATTTCGACGATAGGTATTTACGTCTCTGTTTTAAAGGTTTTATGCTCGGATTGTTTATGAAACGTCAGGCTGTGCTAACGGCTAAGCTAATGGACTAGTATCTGTCTGTTAGCTCTTCTCGAGTTTATGTGGTTTGTTTTGTTTCTTAACTTTGACAGTTTTGCTGGTGTTTTGTCTTTTAATGAATTATTTTGTGCGGTGATTAGGTGTCTATTTGATGAACGTTTCTGCTGGATAGCATCTAGTTGTTCTGGCAGAATGACTCGGATACTAAAATGATAGATTGGCTTTTCTTATTTTGTAAACTGAAAAAAAAAAAAAATCAAATAACTAGAATCATTAGGTAAATAACCCATTAAAATGTTTAAAATATATGATTAGAAACCTGTTAGCCAGTAGTTACCCGTTTCACACACTATAAGTCGTTTAAGACTCAACATTTTACTGCTATAATAATATGCATGTCCATTTTCATTTAAATAGTTTTACATAACTATTACTGTGGTAGTGTTGTACAGTTATGCTAATGTCAGTTGGTAATGCCACTGTACTTTGATATATAGATACCATGGTGCTTAATGATTGCTATATAATTTTACCATGGTAAACCAAGTTACTTCATAGAATTAAATTTTTTAAACCCTGGTGTCGACATCTAAATGTTCAAGAATGTGACATTGTCATGGTAATATGTCCAAAACCATGGTAATTTTTGAATGTATTGATGTAAATGGAACATTTTTTAATTGCTCTGTTAAGATCAGTTATAGCTTTATGATCAATCAGTAATCTATCATTTTTAAATACCGTAATATGCTTACTGTTCATGCTTATGTTTTTCTAACTTTGTAATAAGAAAAGGTTATAAATGTCTATATTGGATGATGCTTAGTTTTATCTATCTATCTATCTATCTATCTATCTAGCATGTGTTCATAAGTATGCTATGGACATCTGTTTGCCTTTTATGTATAAAAATAGTGTGGTGTTGACACTGTATTGGGCTTGTTTTTCAGCCAATGACAGTTGTGCAGTTACGTATTTTCTCTTCCAGGCATCGATTTCAAGATCAGGACAATTGAACTAGATGGCAAGAAGATAAAGTTACAGATATGGTGAGTTTCTAGTCGTCTTTTCCTTCTCTCACCTTGTCACTCAGTGCTAGTTGAACATTAGCAGATGGCTGGAATGGCATGGGTGATTAGTTTTCTTGAGTTTTCTGAAGGAGCCGCTGTTTGACTAGTGAAACCATGACCAGTTTAATTTCTCCTTTACATAGCAGCGAGCGTGTTAAGGCCATTTCACACTGAGCGCGATGCGGAAAAGTAAGGCGAATCACCGACGAACGTTGCTTTCACACTGCCAGCGACTTTTTCGTTGCATGTCGCTAGACTCTGTGGTGTGAAGATGATTGTGGGCGTTCCTACTGCTGTCGCTCTAATGTTATTGGAAGACTGAGTTTCTTGTGCGGGTTATTTATGATGAAGTGATATAGAGCGTGTGCCACATATTTGCGTACTGTTGAAGAGTGTGTGCCGTGAGCACAGTAAAACGGCTGGTGTGACAGTAGAGTGTTTTACTGACATATAGGCCCAATCCCATTTCTACCCCTTAAGCCTCCTTCACACTGCCAGCGACTGTTTCACTGTGTGTCGCTAGACTCAGTGCTGTGAAGATGCTTGTGGGTGTTCATACTGCTGTCGCTCTAATGTTATTGGTAGACTGCACGTCTGGACATATTTGGATATAAAATGCAATCACAACTATATATATATGTTGCCGGTAAAACGAAGATATCATTCTAATATGACTAGGAATTAGACTTAAAAGAAATAAAAGTACCATTCAGCTGTTGGAGAGTGTTGTTATACAGCAGTTTTGGTGCATTAAATCATTAACCGGCGTTAAACTGCTCACTGCATCATATAATTAACAACTCGAACCATCAATGTATGAATCAAACTCACTTAGAAAGCCAACAGTTTCTTTTCTACGCATAATTTTTTTTTTTATATCCATTAGGGATGTAACGATTAACCGCGAGCCGGTTGAAAATCGATTAAAATATGTGACTATTCAAATCGGTTGAGATGCTAAACAAATCGCGATTCAATTAGGGGTAGGAGTTTATATGAATGTATGTCTGAGGGGAACTTACTGTCTTTAGAATAGTTTAGATGGTATTTTCTCTAAAAAGGACATATTTAATTTATAATTTGTCTTAAATCTCATTTTGTACAAAATAAAATATAACCGTGAATCAAATTGAATCGTGAAATCAAAATCGTGAATCGAATTGTGAGTTGAGTGAATCGTTACATCCCTAATATCCTTGTATGTGGTTACAGTAAAATCACATAAAACAGTGAAATCTGTCCTGTCTTGCCTGCACTCGAGACGGTGACGTGTGAGCGCCACTGACAGATTCTTCACTCCTACTGGTTGTAGCTCGCGAAATTCGCTGTTAATTTTCATAAAGTTAAACAATTCTTAATTTTTGTCGCTTGACTCGCATCACTTGACACGCCCACATTCTGTCGCCAGCGGTCACAAGCTGTTTCCATCACCCTATTTTAATGTGCATTTTGATGTATCGCATGAGAAACGAGGGATGGAAACGCCAAATTTCGAATAAAAATCCCTTAATTCGGAAAAAAAGTTGTTACGCTCGCTTGAGGTGGTTTTTGACTTGTGCGAAAAAGGGTTGATGCGAATAATGGGAGATGGAAATGCATTTTGCTAATAAATTCCTCCAAGCGCATCCAAAAAGTCATGTGACTTTGCGCTATGGGATGGCAAAACCTGACTAACCAGCGGACCGATCTAATTCCACAGCATCTGAAATGTTGTTATGGTCATTCAGAAATGCACGAGCAAAGTCTGTCATCAAAGTATTTCTGTATAATTGCCTCCCAGAAATGTCTTACACGATTGCGTTCCCAAACAGCAGCATCCACCTCCGAAAGCAATGACCGCATACATTGTGTTTCGTCTGCTCGCTCTGAGGCGCAAGTAATTTATCATATATGAAAATTATTATGTTCTCCTACTTTTCTTAGTGATTTATAGTGCTAGTTTATCAGGAAGTGACGATTTTGTTCTCTTTGACTTGTTGGATGGAAACGATGCTTGTTCGCAAATGTTTTATGCGATATTCCAATTTTGTGCATAAGTTAAATTCGCAACTTTGGATGGAAACCCGGCTACTGTCGCTCGTGTCGCCGGAAGTCGCCAGCTCTCCACTGAAAATCTGAAAATAAAGTCATCTTCCACTTTAAATGCATTTCAGCATGGCCGCAGTTACAACACTGATATTATTTGATATTTACAGGGACACAGCAGGCCAGGAGCGATTCCGAACGATCACAACGGCATATTACAGAGGTGCAATGGTAAGATGACGCTGAAGTATATACATTACTGTGCTTTGTATGATGAGCTTCAGGTCTGTCTCGCCGGTTGACCGTCATGTTGTGTTCTGGTCATTGTGACCTGGAGAGGATTTTCTTTTTCCAGAACAAAGTAGTTAATGTTATTGCATTAGACCAAAACCTACTGACACTAGGTATAATTACTTCCCAAAAATATATGCTTTTTTTCCCCCCACCTCTTTACACATGTGGTGTTCCTGGTCAAAAATGCTTATACATTTCTCATTATGCTATGTCATTACCAAATATTGCATTCATCTTGGCCTGTACTAGTTGTATATTTAGTGATAATGAGAGTTTTACAAGCAGTATTTAAAAGGCTGGACATTTTTTAATTAGATAAAGGATTTTCAGCACAGGGTTAACACAGTAATAACACTTCTGCTGTTGTCTTCATAATTGCTGTTTTGTGCACACTTGTGATTTATCTTGTGCTCTGATTTCAGGGTATCATGCTGGTTTATGATATTACTAATGAGAAATCATTTGACAACATCAAAAACTGGATCCGAAACATAGAGGAGGTGAGTGTTTCAGTGCCCAATTTATCTTCCTTTACAATACACTTCAGATTTCAAGGCTTCTGCTGTGTGCAGCACTTGCTTAATATACGTAATCATCAGATCTTATCTGCATTTTTTTATGCAATAAAAGGTTATACTATAAATAATTACATAAAAGGTTACTGTAGTACAAACAGTCAAGCATTGGTTCAATTCTCATGGAAATGCATGAACTGATCAAATGTAGTTTAAATGCATTGCATTTTGCTTTGGATAAGTGTCTGAAAATGCATTCATGTAAATGTAAATATTTTTCCTATTTAATTTTTAAATATCAAATAATCATTGAAATTGACATTATTGGCCATTGCATCTCACTGCTTTTTGTCTCTAGCATTTTCCAGCGTATGCGTTATTGTGCTTTTAATACAACATGTCCAGTAAATAATAGTTTTTGAATACAAAAGCATGTGTTATGTGAACTCTTATTATTGTTGTCTAAACTACCAGTAACCTAACTACTAGTCAGTCATTAAGACTAGTCAGTTTTGAAAATGTGTAGTATTGCACATCCTTACCACCTATAACGGTTGCATATTCAACTGCAAATTATTACAACTCATGTTCTTGTATGTTTTCAACCCAGCATGCATCGGCGGATGTAGAAAAAATGATTTTGGGAAACAAATGTGACATTAATGAGAAGAGGCAGGTGTCTAAAGACAGAGGCGAGAAGGTGAGCAGACCATGTTCCTTTACAAAGCTTGATGTTTTCTTATACCTTTTGTCTTCGCAAAAAACAGTTTGCTAGTGTAATATCACTTAACTTTGATTGTATAAGACTACAGCAATGATGCCAACTTCCACAAGAATGCGTTTAGTTAATGATCTACCTGCATCACCATGAATGGCTAGAACTGCTAAACAGTCTGTAATCATCCAGAGAAATCATCATACTTGTATTTTATATAATGGAATCTGCTTGTACTTGTTTAGCTGGCGTTGGAGTACGGCATCAAGTTCATGGAGACGAGTGCGAAGGCTAATATCAATGTTGAGAACGTAAGTGTAAATGGCTTTATGATTAATCCTCGTTTCATTTTCTTATCATATCTGCAGCAGATAGAACGTTTAAAGGTCTAATCGAGACATAATGATGTTTTCTGCTCTACTCTCAGTCATTCTTAACGCTCGCCAGAGACATAAAATCAAAGATGGACACGAAATTGGTGAGACTTTCTTTTTCTGTGCTTTAGCTTTGTGTAAAAATGAATTTAGATTGTAAAGTGTTACCCAATTTTCAATGTTTCTTTTGTCATCATTAGTTAACTGCATTAGTTAACATGAACTAACAAAGAACAATATTACTACACTATTTATTCATCTCAGTTTATGATAATCTCAGCATATACTAATGCATTTTTAAGATCAAAAGTTGTATCTGTTAACATTAGTTTATGCACTGTGAATAACACAAACATTTGTATTAACTGACATTAACTTAACAAAGGTTAATAATTGCTGTAAAAATGTGTTATCTTTTTAAGTTCATGAATGAATCGGTGTTAACAAGTGAGACAACTAGCATGTGAAACAGTATGAAACAAACATTTTTAACAGTAATATGCATGTCACATGATCTGTGTTACATGATTAATCAATTGCTATGCATTTATCATCTTGGAAATAAGTTGATTTAGCATTAAGTCAACTTTTGGATGTCTTATTAAATAAATTAAATTGTAAATAATGACAATTTTGGTAACACTTTGCTTAAAGCATTATAGCATTTTTAATGTACGTTGAAATGCATTATACATTTTCATAAATAATTGTAACCAAAGTAAAAATGCATTACAATATTTGCAGATTCCTTGTTACAGCAACAGTGAATAGATAAGTCTTATAACGGTCTAATTATTAATAAGATCATACAGTGCATTATGAGGCATAATTAATGCATTAAAAATACTTAATTATTATTTAATTATTAATACTTATTATATATTTATATATAAAGGCTTCAAGTAAAGTGTTACCACGATTTTCCTTTTAGATGAATGAATCCAATATCCCATGCTCAGTATTGGCACAATTTCTGGCTAGCTTGAGTTGCAGTAATAAAGCGAGAATCTGGTTGGGGTCTGATGAGGTTTTTTTTTTTCTTTCTTTGCTCACACAGGAGGGGAACAATCCTCAGAGCAGCAACCATGGAGTGAAAATTACCACTGAACAGCAGAAAAAGAGCAGCTTCTTTCGCTGTGTGCTACTGTAAAGACCAAGGCCTTACTGTCCGCCGCCCGTGGGCTGGACATGACTGGACTATGCTCTCCCTCTTAGCACTCCTCCTCCTTCCTCTTTTATCCCATCTCTCCCTCTCTGTCGCGCTCTTCTTCCAACCCTAGGGCAGTCGGAGTTCCTGGCTCCTCTTATCTTCTTCCATTGACAGATTAGCGATGCCGCTTCCTCTCGCTCATGACCCTTCCCCGACGAAACCGTGGTGGGAAAGCATTGGTTCTACAAGTCAAGGTGAAGAACTGGGTGCTGATGCATCGTCGCAATCGTTCCAGCTGCAAACGTGCACCTAAAGAAGATCCCACATCTTTGTTTCAATCGCTCGTTTTGAGCGCACAACTGCCAAAATTGATCCATTCCTTCGTGGCGACCTGGAAGCAGTCGTGATTGTGGGTCAGGCCGCAGATCTGATATTGAGCCAGTTCGAGAGTTACGTGGGACTTTCTTTATCATTCAGTTTTATTTTCGGCCCTCATGCATTCTTCGACAATCACATGACCTTATTGTAAGTAGAGGAATATTATAACCCACCTCTTAGATGCTTTTTCCTTTCTTTCATTTAAAAAAAAAAAAATTTTTTTGCTGTTTTTGTCCCCGGTTTTATTTTTCAGACCTGTTACGCAAAAGTGTTGCGTTCGCAAACGTCAAGGTTTCATAATAAACTAATGAAGATCCTGCTTTTTATTCATCAAGACATGTTTGCTGCCTCGTTAAAACAAACCTCCCTTTTTTTAAAACATGCACACAAAGCTATTTCCAAATAGTTCCATTTTTTTATGCAGTAGCGCTAGCTTTCGTTTTAACATTCCTTCGAATAAATCCAAAACTCAGGTCTTGCTTTATCACGACCTGAAAACGGCCCAACATGAAAGCGTTCTTTAATTAAAAACTCTTGAATTGACTAGTGTAATCAAATGAAACTGACACGTAGCCCTTGATAGGAAGTGGAAATCCTGAGTTTGTAGTGTTAACAAATATGCATAACCAAAAGCAATGAGAAAGGGTGACTGTAACCTGAAAAGCAGAGCTATACTTGAGAAAGCACCTCCCGTATACAGAAGTCCATGCACTTTATCAGTATCTTTTGTGTTGAGTGTAGTTTGTGCCAAGTGATAGTTTTGCATCATAAAGACAGGCGTTTTTACATAGTTACATGGAGTATGGCCTGCCGAATTCATGTTCGTTTTGAGATTAAGGCGTTTTCATTCCCCCAAACATTTTCAAGGAACATTTCTACAAGTCTTGAGTTAGTCCTATCACTTATCCTGATAGCTGGTGTTATGCATTGGCTGCTATTGGTGCAGTTCGAATAAATAGTCTTCTGTCAGTTGTGTTTTGTTAATTTGTTCATATTTCTCATGTATTATGAATGGACTGTACGTGTAGCATCTGAATTACAGTCCTACAGCATGTCAGTCTTAATTAGTTTGGGTTGCACAGTGTAAAAACAAACAGATTTGGTTCATATGACTAGGATTAACTACCCAGAATACAGTAATCCACCATTCCTGAGTTCTGAATAGTGTGTTGTCATAAGCACGTGCTTCTAATTAATGCAAGAAATGCAATGCTAGAGAGTTGTACTGCCCTTCAAAAACAAACTGCAGTTAAATGAGTTTTCACACTGATCAGCTGAGTCAAACTCACCCGCCACAAGAGACCTTTATTTTGAGAAATTGTGTAGTTTTTCCTTTGCACCGCAGTATACGCAAATGTACATTTTGTAGTAATGTAAAATGAAACATGTCAGTTGGTGCAGTTGTGTTCACCAGCAATAGGTCAGGAAACTACCAGAAGCTTCAGCACCTATTAGATTTGAGTGAAAAGAAAAAATCTTCATTTATAAAAATCCAAATAAGTGAATATCACAAAACCTGACAAGAACACATTCAGGTCAGATTTCACCCCAAAAACCAGTTCATTTTGCATTTTGTTGTGTATATATATATATATATATATTCCATATGATTTGGGGTGATATGTGACCTGAAAGTGTTTTTAAGAGATTAAAAGGCTAAGAAGCACAGTGTTTGACTGTTTTCGAGGCAGAAGTGCATTAAATTCTCTTCTTGCTGCAATGTGGCGCATCCTAAAAATGGCCACTTTCCTTTTCTTTTTCCAAGCTCAATTGTTGATCAACTTGAAATGACTTCTTGTTTGCACCTTGTTCTCTTTCCACCTCAAGGAGATGCTGTTTTGGGTTCATATTTGCATTAGAAGCTGTATGTCGGTTTAACGGAGGTCGGCCCATCTTCATCTGTACCCACAGCATCTCTCTTCGCTCCCTGTCCAATAATGTCCCCAACTTGCCGTTTGTCTTAATAACTAATACTTGATCTTTCATTTTGGATCTATGCATCATGAAGGCGATACTGTTGACCTCCTGTATGTTTTGTCTGTGTGTGTTTGTTATTTTCTATAGATGTCCTGTACATTGAAGCCTTGGTCTGGTTGTCTGTTCTGAGCTTTAGAGGACCGTCTGCTAATGTTAATGAACCTCAGACGAAATTTAATCTGGCCTTAGGGTGTTTTAAAGTGATAAAATGCAAAAACAATATAACGGACAGCTGGCAAAACATTATTTCATTTGTGGAAAAGAACATTAGCAAACAGGTACCGCTTTCTGTCTTAACAAACGGCTTTGCAGTCACGTCGTGTTTATTGAGCAGTGATACGTATGTCTGTCGATCTCAGTTTTTGCCGTTTAGTATCTCTTTCTCGTATTTCTTGATTTGAAACGACTCATCCATATCATTTACAGATTCTTTTTATATGACCATGTTTTCATTTGTCGATTGTGAGGTAACTGGGGAGATCGGTAAATTACATTTTGGTATACAAAAAACAATTGTAAATAACTCTAAAAAGAGATCTACTTAAATTGTACTGTACTTTCTAAAACGTTGAAAAACTGATCTACAGTTTTTGTAGATATCTGTACTTTTGATTTATTAAAATAAGATTCTTTTAAGAGATGGATTTGTGTGTGTGTTTAATATTGACAGATGAGTTATTTTTTAGGTGTTAATAAGATAGATAAGTACATTATTGTCCTCATCCATATCATTTACAGATTCTTTTTATATGACCATGTTTTCATTTGTCGATTGTGAGGTAACTGGGGAGATCGGTAAATTACATTTTGGTATACAAAAGAAACAATTGTAAATAACTCTAAAAAGAGATCTACTTAAATTGTACTGTACTTTCTAAAACGTTGAAAAACTGATCTACAGTTTTTGTAGATATCTGTACTTTTGATTTATTAAAATAAGATTCTTTTAAGAGATGGATTTGTGTGTGTGTTTAATATTGACAGATGAATTATTTTTTAGGTGTTGATTTGCTGTCGGCCATCCCAAAAAAATAACCTTTACTTTAAGTACATTATTGTCTTGTTTATATGTTTAAGAATCCTTATATTTCATTCAAATATATATGCCTTCTTTATTTCTGTGTTTTAAATTGGTAATGTAAGCCAACATCTGTACCTGACTTCTGAATCCGCAGCGAAAGCTCTTACATCATCTTTAGAAAGTAATTTTCCTGTGGTTCAGTGTCCAGATGATCTTCATATCCTGATGTGGAAGGTGCTAGAAGAGAAAAGATCAAGACATTTTCAGGGTTGAAAACATAAACAGTCAGCTCTATCAAAATCATCTGTATACTGTTGATTAGTCAATGTAAAATGTGCACACTCTGGAAAAAAATGAAACCATTTTCATTAAGAAATTGCTCAATTTCACAAATAATTCCAAATGAACAAGTAACCGAGAATTAAATGTGAACTTTTGAAGTAGAAAGACTAACATTGTATTTCTTGCAAAATGTATTCCAATAATCTTTATTTACAAGCCGCAGCTTGTGGCAAAAATGTCACTGAAATTCAAAATGATTTAATATCATTAATATTATATTAAGTCTAGGCCTTGTTATACATGTTATACATAAAATATGTGATACTGATTTTCAGTACTGATTGATAGTGATCAGTAGGCTAGAAATATCGGATTTAAAGAATGACAGCGATTTTAAATAGTTAAAAAATATACCCTCATAAAAGTGAAAAATGCCCCTGAAAATCAAAACGAGGGGGCAAATGTTGGTCTTTAATGGAAAAGCATGTAGACCCAACAAATCAACATATTAATGTCATAGATGCTGAAACTAGAGTTTAAGTGGTATTAAACCAGCATATTCTTTTAAAATGGTAAAGATTGAGACTTTAGTCTTTGCAACTTTACAGATCTTCTTTATGCACCAAGAGCTTGTAACACTTGAAAGAGAAAGGAAAAGTTGAAATCGCATCATATGACCCCTTTAATAATGACCTTGGCAATAAACTGAAATTTGTTTAACTAAAAGACAAAAATGACTAAGTGAAAATAAAAACTAAAACTGAAACATAAAAATAAATGAAACCTTAATAGTAACATAAACTAATTAACATAAACTAAAGTAACATTAACTAAGTAAAAAATTGTACTAAAATAAAAAAAACTGAAAATGTTAAAACAAAAACTAATTTTAAAGAAACTAAAATAGTATATAAATACTAAAACAACGCTGACTGAAAAGAGCAGTGGTTTAGTATCACTGAGATACTATTATAATTTTTTATTATTAATTTTTATATTTTGATTTAGCTTTTATTTTATATTTTCAGTTTTCATTTTTTGGTAATATATCTATATAGTTTTTATTCTTATATAGTATTGTATTATTATTATACAGTATTTTATTTTATTTTAATTTTAGATTTAGTTATTTTAATACATCAAATTAAACTAAAAATGAGAAATGCTGCCTTGGCAACTAGCTGAAATACTTTTTTTAATTGAATTTCAGTTAAAGTTTTATTTCATGTAACAAATTGTTTTAGTTGACTGTAATAACCATGTTTCAAACCGAACATCAGATTAAGTGATTATTTATTCAATTAAATCCAAAGCATCATTCTCTTACAGTTTTCATTCCAAACTGGTTTTAACAAACCCTACATAACGTTAAGCATCATTTACAGTGTGTAGTTGTTACCTGAGGAAGTCAGGCGCTCTCATGATCATGTGCTGGAAATCCTCTAGAGACAGACGGCCGTCATTGTCCAGATCAGCTTCATCAATCACCTTCTCACACACCATCCTCACCTCATCCTCGGTCAGCTCGTTACACGTCAGCTTATTTAAGGTTTTCTCCAGATCTGATTTACAGATGAAGTCATCGTTGTTGAAGTCTAGAGGGAAGAACGAGGGTAAGCTGTGTTAGAAAACACTTCTGTTGGTGCTGTTAAAATGATTTCATTTGTGTTTGAAATTTAGTTTAAGCTACCAATAAAATAAATAAAGCATTTTAATGTAGCTTTTAAAAAGCACTAGTCATGTAGAAAAGCATTTAGATAAAGAAAATAAATACTGTAAATAATGTATTTATCACTAATAGTTAGCACATTCACAGACCCCGAGGCATTTCACAATGCATAGCCAAAAGAAAAAATATTTACAGATTTATTAATTTATTGACCTATTTATTCTTACTCGTAAATTAAACAATTTTTAATATCTATTTATTTGTCTAAATTGTATTATTTAGAATAGTTATAAATTAGAATATATTTTTAATCTTTTTATTTTATTTTTAGTATATTTTATTTCTTTTATATGGGGCACCCATGATAGTTCACCACACTTTGTTTTTAATACTCTCAACAATGAATCCTTCGGTGCTGAATAAG